TAATGTTGACATTTGGGTAGGCCGTGGAAACACTCAAAACCACCAGAAAGATAATAAAATATGAATTAACATTACAAGCCTACACTATACTCACATTTACATACTTACACAAAAAAAAAAACAATACAATTCAAATTCAAAGAAAAATAAAATACGAAAACAAAATACGAAATACACCAAAAAAAAAAACATGCCGTAAAATTAAATAAAGAGCAAAAAGCCAACATCACGTGGTATTCCCAGGCGGTCACCCATCCAAGTACTAACCACGCCCGATGTTGCTTAACTTCGGTGATCGGACGAGAACCGGTGTATTCAACATGGTATGGACGTTGGCGAACGTTAAGGCAAATTTAATGTATGGTATCCACAGTTAGACGTCAATTTATATTAATAAAAAAATGTCGCGTCCCAAATTTTTGTATGATTTTTTTCCGTCTAGCCCCCTTTCACAACGCGCGATAAGGAACTTCGTTCCAAAAATAAAACCTAGCTAGATCGATTAATCGCCCCCGAAACCCCCTGAATACTAAATTTCATGAAAACCGTTGGGGCTATTTCGGAGAACTCCCCGTTGGAACTCTCCATATTACCGCATAAAACGGTCGCTTTTTAAGGTAGTTTCAAAGATATGGAACAATTTACCGCTGCCTATAAGATCATCAAATACTATTGGCACTTTTAAATTTAGATTGCGGTAATATCTCATGGACGCACAGCGGAAACTGGATATGGCCAATGTAAACACTTCCTTTATTTAACGAAAGGCTCTCACCAGCATGCCCCATATGCCTATTGATTTATGTTGTGTGTATCGTAGTGCATATTGGCATGATTTGTATATCTGTTTTTTGTCTTGTTATATATTATTGCTATATGTTATTAACCCTATGAAATTATGTACACAGCTTAGCAATTGGATCTGCAACTGGTTTTACGCATAGCCTCATTTTGGGCACAATTGAAAACCAGCTTAGGTTTTTCTCTTCTTTCTTTTATTTAGATATATATACAAGAATTGCTCGTTCAAAGGTAGATAGATATCGCTAGTGACGCACTATAAAGTTTTGTTTTTATCTTCTTTACAGGACTGCACAACTTTTAGCTAGATTTGATGTCAGTGTTTAGATAACGTTACCAAGTTCTATGTGAGCCATTTCCATTATTTAAATTAAAAAACTATTTAAGATTTTTACTTTAGTCTGCAACAATTGAGTTCTTCAATAGGGTGGTTGAAACTGCCAAGTACAATTATATTTTATCTGTCCCCATTTTTTGATTGACGGTTCCCATCAAAGGTCAACCAAATCCGGTAATGTTATTATGTTCTTCTGAAAATAACAATTCTGTTATTGTTAGTAAATGTATTAGGAAGATGGAGGCCAGGTGTCTGTGTTATTCACCGAAGGTGACTTTAACATGTGCTTATTAGTTCATCATATAACTCAACAGATGTCACTGTACATATGACGTCATCTATGTATTGCGGTGTTAAGAATCTCGGCAAGGGAATGACTTCCCTCGTTGAATTTAGTTTAGTTATCGCTTCTCGGCCTTTTGGCTAAGATCAAAGTGTAGTATCTGTTCTTTTCAGCTTAATATCTGAAAGTTCCCTCACTGAGGGACCAGTATATTAAACTGATTTTTGTAAGCTGACGGGATGTTCGGGGCTCGCTCCACTCCCGTCACGGGTCGGCCCGGCATTGCAGTGCCGCCGGGAACGGCCCACATAATACCTTGTACTACTTTTAAATAAAACCTTAGTACAGTAAGTTTACCCTATAAACTTACTGTTCTCATTATTGAATTCTACTTAAACTAATACGAAAGTTGGTATTTTCTATGGGAACCAAGGAAGAAGGTACAACAAACAAAATAGGTGTCGATATAAATTCAACTAGTTATCAATCTCACCAATTCAATATGTTCATCCTCATCACATACGGAGGTATGGGCAGGGTGAAGATTTTAAATAGATGAATTGAAAAAGAATTTGATAGAAGATTTGATAGGCAAAATATGCCGTTTTTTTTAAAAACTTATGCCCTTTCATTCACCAGAAGATTGTTTTTAATTCTATCGTTATGTGCTGTGATATTATTATGACGGTTTTTGTCACTGTTTCCTCACGGTCATACTAGTTTGTCATTGAAATTATTAAATGCACGTATCGAATCGAATATTATTATTGTTTTAGAGGTTGACTGGCAAGCCAGGTCATGGGTTTGATTCCCACCCAGGACAAATAATGTGACGAGTACGATTATTAAATTAGCTACAGACGTAGATAATTTGATCTGCAGACTGTGGTGGTGGAATTGATCCAAATATATATTTAAGTGTTTAGAATATATAAGTATGTTTATCAACAATCTGGTTACCATAGTACAGGCTCTGGCTAGTTTGGGATTAGGCGGTCGTGTGTGAGATGTGTGAGGTTATTATCATTATATTATAAATAGATTAACTTGGTGAACGAAGTGAAGTGGAATGTTGGATTCGAACCAATTAAAACCACATAGGATTTTAAAAAAAAACCTGCTGAAATCCATGAAAATAAATGAAACAACCAGTTCAATTATATTTACAAACATTAATTGTTTATTCGTTAAAGAGAAAATATATCACCTCCTTCAAAGTTCTATTATAAAGAAGGCACAGTACATTACGTGATCGTGTATATATTACAATATACCGCCACAATTACATGAATAAAACTACCGATAAGCTAAAAAATGTCAATAAATTTGGTAAAAAATTTAGATGGTACGCAAAACCCCGGAATAATATTTCATGGGCATATTAAAACCACAGCCGGTACAGGGATTATATCGTCCGTGGTCCGAACAAAACATATTCCGTGTTGATTCGGACTTCAATAAATCCCTTAACGTTATTATTTAAACGGCGTACCAACTTCAATTACAAAATCTTTTTTTAAATTTTACATTATGAACTGTAATAAATAAAATCACAATTGAAATTGTAATTTTTACACGTTCTAGTTTTACCAACACACTATATTTTTTACTATACTTCTGTCTTATATAAAAGGTCTTTAATTATACATACTTTTTAAAAAAGCTACCCAATATGTATTAATAATATTTGAATGAAATTATAGATTACAGAGCTGCGACAATTAAATTTTAATGTAATTTGCGAATATTTTGTAACAATACAATTATTATTATTGATATTCATCTACTACAAAGTTCTGTAATACAAAATAAGACTAGTAGGTAATTTTTTTACTAAGTTTTATTTTAAAAATGGAAGAATGCGATATTTTAAGTAACAGACTAAGCACCTTTTATGGAACTGTTGTAGTAGTTTAGAGGCACATTGTTATTATTATTTCTATTTATAACTGGTAATATATATCTTATTATTATTTGTTTAATACTTTGAACGCAATTGTGGTTACATTTTAACTAACTTGAATTAGAATTGTTATGATTAATACGTGACATCATTTCATCGAATTGTAGGCGTATAGAATGCTCGGATGGTTCAATATTCTCACAAATGTTGACAGTCATGCTGCCATGAGTTTCTACGCATACATGACCAGACTGTTCAAGCTTTGATTTAAAATATTTAATTATACAATATTTATTTATGTGTATATATGTGAATTAAATGTTGATTTCTTTAACGTTCATATAATTTAACAAAACTTGGGTTTTGTGTTTTTTTTTGTATAGTGTAACCCACGTTATAAGTTGTAAAAAATTGTATTAAGTATGTGGTTTTGTGCGTTCAAAGATATTATGGCAGTCATGATATGACATTGGCTTGTAAATATTAGTTATTTCATTATAACAAGTTTTTCCATTAAAAAAACTAAACTAAGCATCTATAAGATCAACAAAACTTAACTTAGAGAATAATATTATGTTCATAGGGTCTGAGAACATGGTACACTCAGTTTTTATTGAACTAGTACGTACTATTGTTATCAGGAGCCTTACTATTATTATGTAATTCTGACAAAGAGGATAATTTTGGAAAATAAAATTTAAAAATGGATCTCTTTACCAAGTTATATATTACAATTATTTATTGTACTTTAATTTTACAAAAAAAGCATTAGCGTTAAATTAAAATTAAAAATGTATAATAATAATAATAAAGAAAGTCTTAATAACGATCTTTATCAAAAAAGCGATTGGTACTTTAACAGTTTAAATATTTTTTTAATAATTAATAAGCATAAATTTATTAATTGTAATACATAATTAACGTAAGCTTATATATAACTAATGTGATTCTTAATTACACTTTGGTAATATTTACCTATTAAAAAAACTATGTTAATGTGAGAAAATCGACTAATCAATAAATATACTAAATCGTCTGTAATGTCTAGTAGAAAAGAACAATTATTGAAAATTCAGATTCCTATATTTATAATTTGATCTAAAGGTTAAAGGCAAAAAGTATTTAATTGTAAAAAATAATAATAGTAGTGCTAAATTTACTGCCATATCAAAATTAATAATAATTAATGATTAAAAGTAATAAATATTTACATTATTAAAACTTGAAGATTGAAAAACTGTATTAATTCGAAAATAAAATTTCACGAAAATCGTTTTAAAATTTGGAAAGAATTTGAAAAAAAGTTTGAATGAAAGAGGACTCGAGCATATGATTTCTGTTTGTATAGATGCCAACAATTATCAATTTTTAAGTATCTTTGCTTCCACACGTTCATCGAATACACTTAATTCTAAAATAAAAATTAAATTTCCTTATTATTTATTCTGTACAATAATATATATGAAAACCTATGGAACGGAGACAAAACGAACTACAAAGAAACGTAAATTCAAAATAGATTTTGTACTTTTAGTAAATTTTCTAATGTGCTTGACAATTTTTTCTAGTTTAATTTGATTTGAAGAAGCGTTTTAATTATTTTTTTACTGCGCAAAGTTTTGTCTCAGATAAACATCGAATACTTTTTTTAACAATAAATAGGTTAAGTTAGTGGTTTAAAACATTCGTACGAGGAGGTACATGAGGATTGTAGATAGCATGGTGTACAGTGGCCGGATAGAATGCGCTGAGTTTTTGCGGAATACTGAAAAACACAAATAACAAAGAAATATTAGTAATTAATGTTAAACGTGTGGTGACGGATTGAGAATACAGAGTGTCACCACCCCTATTCATCCCGTGGGTGTCGTAAGAGCCGACTAAGGGAGCCAACTACGCAGGACAACGGCACTGCAGAGAGAAAGAAAACTTGACACAAACCCTATACCAACCCGTCTGGCCAGCGTGGTACAGTAGGCCAAAACCTCCTTTATAAGAACAGGCCTATGTCCAGCAGTGGACTCGTAAAGGCTGTTGCTGATGATGATGAATATTATAAACGTGAAAATTTGTTAAGACGAATATTCAAATGTTTGTTACTTAATCAGAACGGCTAAACGGATCTGCACTGTATTTGTAAATGAAAATCGACAAAACCGTAAACGCAAGTAAAAATATTAAATAATAAAATATGAAATATCTATCTATTGGAAGACAATACAAAATGATACTATACTTTAATTTTAGTGGTTATTATTAATTATTTTTACATATTTAAATAGATCATAGAATATAGATAAAATTTAAATAACAGAATTTATTTACAAATAATAACAATAAATTAGAATGAACTAAAAACACAAAATTACCTGAAGCGTGCTGGATGTACTGTGGCTGATCATCTTCTAAATTAAAAAAGAAAAAGCAAAATAAAATGTTAGTGACAATGACATAAAATGAAAAAAAAAACAAATTACAAACTGCAAACCAATGTAAAAAACACCAATACTGTGATTTTTTTAATTAAAAGGAGGTCAAAAAGATTAAACCATTAGACCTAAAACTTAATGAAGCTAACTCAGTTTAGATATTAGTACGAAATTTAATTTTAATAGAATTAAAATAAATTTTAGACAGGATTTTCTAAGATAAGGCTCTAAGTAATCAACCCAAGAGCCAATCAGACAACCGGCACAGCGAAAACCCGATCCAAATGGCATATTATTGTTATTTTATGGGTTCGATTCCCACCCAAGATAAGTGATTGTGTGATGAGCATGATCATTTGTTCTGTGTCTGGGTGTAATTTATCTATAATATGAATGTATTTAGAAATATAAGTGTATTCATCAGCAGTCTGGTTACCATAGTACAGGCTCTGCCTAGTTTGGGATCAGACGGCCGTGTGTGAGATATGTGAGGTTATTATTATTCCACCAATTTATTATCCTGTTTAATGTTTTTTTTTAGAAAAGTGCACTCTATAAAGCATACAAAATAAAATATATATAAATCATACCAATTTTAACAATCGCAGGCTCACTGGAACTGCCCCAGCTTTTGGTGTTCTTCACTTTGACAATGGCTTCATAATCACCAGTCTCCAGCTGTTTATCTTCTAGAAGATACGAGATGTCGTACTTGTGGTGCTTGCCTTCTGGCAGAGGGACGGCCAGTCGTCTCCATTCACCGTCTCCGTTCTAGAAGTGATTTAGTGTTATTCTTATAGCATAATGGTCCATAAGAACGACTGGAAGTCACAGGTTTATGTAACTTTCAGGGTAAACATTAGAATGCATGTATTAATGTGCATTAGTATGAGTATTTCTGTATAAATAATATATGTATGTTTACTCACATACACACTCAAACACGCGCGTACACACAACACAACACACACAGATACATACTCATTTAATCGTAGATTTTAGAATTTGTTTTTTGTTACTATAGGTATTTTTTAAGTTTCTCTTCATATTAATTTATTCTCCCATTGTGAAATAATAGCCTAATTTGAGAGGGGCGAGCCAGGAGTCCATAACACAGGGTATCCTAGTTTTTGATGTGTGACGTGCACATCAAAAAGTAAAGCAAGTTAGAATTTTCAACAGTCGAACAGTAGTAAGACTTTACGAACAAAAATTTTCTCTGTTTGAAAACATAATTTCCATATACAGTCTTACTGTTACTTAAAATTTTCATAACATAAATTTAGAGCGATTTAATTTACCTCACTGAAAGATCTGAGCTGTACTTCCATCTCTTCAAGAGGCTGATGCGAGTGCACTGTCCAGGATAATTTGGTGCCGTCCACCTCCAAGCCGTCCACCACAGGGCTTTGTACCAGCTCTATCGACCTGTTATGCTTGCCGTAGTTGTTTTCAGCCTGGAATTTGGATTGGTTATTAAAGTTGTTTATTAAATACGATGGTGACTATTGCGCAGGTTCGTAGCGTGGTGTTAAGTCTAGTTGATATCTTTTCTCTAGGATTAGACTATTAAGGGTATAGAGGGGTAAACGAGCAGACGGGTCATCTGATGGCAAGTGACTACGCCGTCCATGGACACCCACACCTCAATAGCCACCCGTGCATCGTCACCTTTGAGTGCCCCCTAAGGATTTTAGTAGGTTGAGCATCCGGCAACCTCAATCACTCGGTGAAGAGTAAAAACTGCTTAACACGGTCGTCGTATCACTACGGTCGACCAAACCCATATTTACCTAAGCACGGCTCTAGAGAATCCAAGCTTCAAAAAACTTCAAACTATCAAATCCAGGGAAAAACTTACCTCGCAAGTAAAAGTGCCAAAGTCCTCATCAACAGTTGGTGATACAGTCAGGTTGGAGTTAGAGCCACTGGTGCTGATCTTGAAGTTAGAAGCGCCATCTTCAATGAGCCTGCCATCCTTGTACCAGTGAATGTGGGGTCTGGAATGAGAAAAGTTTTTGTTTAGCTTTTTATAGATGGCAAAATTGCAGAAGCATTCAATAGAATCCAAGAAAAATTGACAGCATTTAATATTAAAGTGACGTAAACGCCAATATTTTCAGTTTCTTCAGAGACCTGCGGCGTAGTTAATTGGGTTTTAACACGTTGCAAATGTCTTCATAAAGTGATTAGCAAACCAGAATATCAAACGTTGCACATATCCGCAAAATTGAGTCATTTCGTCACAATTTTCTCGTATTTTAAATTTATCCGTTACGCAAAGGATAGGTAGGTAGTAAGGAAGGAAGGTAGCCAAATTTTTGACACACAGATAAATTTAAGGATCATGTTTAAATCTCCTTCGTGCGTTTTGGTGGTATTTGAGCACAAAAAGGTGTTCAACAGAGACAGTAAGTGCAAGAATTGGTAGCTTTGGTCTCAATTGCAAATTAATTTAATACATCTAATGAAATAGTTTGAAGAAGAATCTTAAACAGATTCTTCTCTTTATTTTCGAATGTAATTTTAAATATACCTGGGTTCCTCATGAGCGGCGCATTCCAGGACAGCATCAATTTTCAGATCAGAGTTCACAACAGCCTTGGTGACGTGCACTCGCGGTTTGGCTGAAAAGCACAAGACAGCAGCTTTAAATAATGAAATAGTAAATCCTAATTAAAATATTGTCAGGCCACATTTCTTGTCTATATAAACAGAGGAGAGAAGACAATAAAATAAAAATGACTTTATCAAGTTTTTACAAACTATCATGTATTTTTAAATTCCCTGCATTTGTCAAGCCCATCTTGGAAATTAGAATTTCAATGAGTGGTTTTCATGTTTATTTAAGGTAACCGTAAATTATTATTTTTTTCAACTTCCACAATAGCAATACATCCTGTGTCGCGGAGGAGTTTACAGACATACATGAAATATATACATGTGATTAAGGTCAAATGTCATACATTTGACCTTAATCACATTTCCCTATAAACGTGTTTTGGGGATCTATAAATGACGCTGTATAATAATGTATAAATAAATGCTGTGAAGGTTTATATGGTCGAAAATTGCTTGCACCTATTTTTTACAATGGTCATCGCAAGTACATGATAAAATAAAAAAAAAACGATCCGATCTTCGTTTGTTTTGAACGATCGCATGCAGGCGTCAAGCAACCTGTCAGTTTTAGTAATATCGATAACTGATTCAATCCCAGTTCAATTCAATTCAGCAGTGGACAAGCATAGGCTGAGGTGATGATGATGATGATGATTCAATCCCTGCGGTGGGTGACGTCAGTCAATTGTAAAAGTAGTTTAAAAATACATGGAACAAATGGTATTTTTAAGGTTAAATCAGTACCATGTGGCCTCATGGAAGTACTGGCAATAAACCCAGGGTACAGCTAGTATAATATAAATATAATACTCACGGTTGACAATGACTGATATCTCTCCTTGATCGTGGGCAACCTTGTTGATGGCGTAGCAGTAGTACGTGCCAGCCTGCTCTCTCTTCACACTCTTGATGTACATGGAGTAAACATTACCGTTCACTGAGAATTCGCCGTCCTTCTCTGATAGACGTACGTTCTAGGGAGAAAAAAGAAAAGATTATAGTTTTGGGTTAAAATAGAAAAATAGAATTAGAAAAAGATTATTTAACTTTTATTTAAGATTCCTATTCAGCGTAAATATTAAATTTAAGGATATGTCTTTTTGTATCACACTAATATAATGGAGGCGCTCAAACGCCTGGACCAATTTTGATAAAATTTGCTATGGAGGTTGCTGACACCCTTATCATCATGATCAACAGCCTTTAGTAGTCCACTGCTGGACATAGGCCTCTCCATAGATGGAGGGTTCGGCCTACTATGCCACGCTGACCAGACGGGTTGGTCTATACACTCTACAACAACCCGTCTGGCCAGCAACACCTTGCCATCAACTTAAAACAAACCCTATGGTTTGTTTTACGTTTTCCTTCTCTTTGCGGTGCTGTTGTCCCACGGGATGAATAGTGGTGCTGACACTCCGTATTCTTAACTGGGCAAGCTGGGTTAACACATAGGCTTCATTCAGAAAAATTTAGTGTTCACGTGGGATGAACAAGGTATCTGATAAACCGCGTATAACACCGCGGGGCGCAGCTAGTTAGTTAGTTTAAAATTAAAGTTAGTTATTGTTTTGTAATAGTTATTATTAGTTTGATTTATTTCTAACAGAACAGTAGGTGCACTATTTAATACCATTAGTCATTCTGTAGTACCATTAAACAATTTTATCACTTTACAGATATCGTACTAAACAGTTGACAGCCTGTCTTTCTCCCCGATTACAATAAACTTTCACATATTGCGTCAAACTGACAGACATTACGCAATTAGCTAATAATAACATCATTGATCACGATACACGTGTTCATTACAAACTAACGCTTATTCAAAACAAAACTCTAAATGCAAATCGTGTAAAGTCTAAAATCCATCACACAATATTATTTAAGGTATACAACATTAGTTCAATTGTTGTTTTCTGTTTTACAAAACTGCATTGCGCATGTTCACACAATATTCTGCCTTATGTTAAAATTGTTTAGTCGAGATTCATCTGTCAATTTCTCGAGCTCAAACTGCGAGTATTGATAATGTCTTACAAGATTGATGTTATTAATGTTATTAAATAATAACATTAAAAACATATTATAGAAGACGAAAATCGATGTGGCGTGCAATGGGAGAGGCCTATGGCCAGCAGTGAACTGCGATAGGCTAATGATGATATAATGTAGATAAAAAATAAGAAAACAAAAAGTTCTAGAATTTGCAAAAAATAAGTATTTAATTTTAATTAAAAATCAATTATTACTGACAAGCTTTCTAAATTTTATACTAGATGGCGCTGCGGTACCTGGTGATGATTTTCAATATGACCTTTCTATTTCATGGTTTCTGTTTATGTTGTTCTTGAAATCAACAATTTCTTTTTTTAATATGTAATGTTAACTATACACACTAAGACTGGTTTTTAACACAAATTTAATATATAGTATATAGTAAGTATTATAGTAACTTTTACGACTTTATAAAAAAAGCTGTTATTAATACGTTATATATTTTATAAATTTGTTTACTAAGAAATAAAATGGTGGAAAATTAAGGAATAACAAAAATACAGTTTATTATAATGCTACATTCTATAGGCGCGCTGAAGTCGGTGATTTCTTTTTAAAACTAAATTATTTTCAAGGATTTGATTATGATCGAACTTTTGTCTATTAGTTAAAACAACTTTGTTAATAATGTTGTTGACTGTTTTTTTTTTGTTTCGTTATTTTCATACTATCTACAACTGTTTTGTATCTAAAAGAAAATTATGAAAACCATTATATCTTTAGCCTTTATCCTTAGACCTCGTATCTTTGAATAAAGTGACTTGAAACTCAACTTAAAATTTATGAATGACTAGAATTTGCCCGTGGCTCCGCCCGCGTGTTTATCGATTATCGCGGTAAAAAGTAGCCTAAGTCCTTCCTCAAGAATCAAACTTCCATAACAAATATCATCTAAATCGGTTAAGCAGTTATTGATTACCTATACAAACTTCCACCCCCCTTTTCACCTCCCTAAAGGATGATTTTCTATCCTATGTCCTTTCCCGGGTCTCAAAGTATCTATAAACTATATATTTATTTATTTATTTATTTATTAATAAGTACTACCACATCCTACATATTATACTTATAACTAGTTTTGACAATATGTGGCATTATACCTGATATGTATGACAATTAAGGTGTACATAGCATTTACTGTAATGTAGTAGTGTAAAAAGTAGTAAACTAATTACAATCAAACGAGTAGAAATAAAACTAAAGAAGAGTATACTTAATAATAATAAACTGTTTGTTTGATCTAAATCGGAACAGCGGTTTAAGCGTGAAGAGGTAACAGACAGACAGACATACTTTCGCATTTATATATATTATATTATTATGGAAACATGGATGAATACTACGCTATGTATTTCATGTTACAGCCCAGATGTCATCAGGGGACTTTATTTGTCGCGTTTTGTTCTTATTAAAGCAAGAGTAACGGAAGCGCTGCGTTTAATTATAGCGACTAGAAGCAGGACTATATTCCTTGTAATAGAATTATTCTAATATTATAAAGCTGAAAACTGTTTGTTTGTTTCGTTGAACGCGTTAATCTCAGGAACTACTGGTTCGGATTAAAAAATATATTAGTGTTAAAGATAAAGATAGCATAAATATCCTTTCTAAGGAAATGCTTATGTCCATATGACTATTAAGAGCTGTTGATGATGATGATGAAAGCTGACTCGGACAAGGACTCGGAGTCCGTGTGGTGACGGAAGTCCGTGTGGTGACGGATTAAGAATACAAATTGTCACCACCCCAATTCATCCCGTGGGTGTCATAAGAGCCGACTAAGGGAGCAAACTAAGCAGGACAACAGCACTGCAAAGAGAAGGAAAACTTGAAACAAACCCTATACCAACCCGTCTGGCCAGCGTGGTATATTAGGCCAAAACCTCCTTTCTAAGGAGAGGCCTATGTCCAGCAGTGGACTAGTATAGGCTGTTGATGATGATGATGATGATGATGACTCGGACAAAAGCTATCAGAATGTAGAAAACTTACCTCATTATTCTTGGCTAAAGACCACATGACAGTCGGGACTGGAGAACCGGTCACCTGACATGTGAGCAACAACTCCCGACCTTCACCAACGACCCCACCGTTTGTAGCTGTTATATCTGAAATAAAGACGAAAAATGGATTTAAATATAACAATTAATAGAAAATGAATAATTTAGATCAATATTTACTTCGATAACTTTATATATGTATAAAATTGAATTGGGACCAAACGAGAAGCACCAGCTTTCAAATAAAAAAAGAATTTTCAAAATCGGTTCACCTAGTCAAAAGTTCTGAGTTAACAAACATAAAAAAAAAATACAGTCGAATTGAGAACCTCCTCCTTTTTTTGAAGTCGGTTAAAAACGCGCCACTGAACTTAATAAGAGAACTTATTAAAGAGTGAAGCAACCTGTCGCACCAAGACTTTAAATCTTTAGACCATTTGCGTAAGAAAATAGTGACACATCGGTTAATCTACGCCCCCTGACCAATCAGGTTCCAAGAAATGATCGTTTCGTACGAAAGCATGGAACCTGATTGGCCAGTATGCGTGGCTTGATCGATGCGTCACCATTTTCGAATGGATTAGGGTCTGGTCGAAAGGACTAGTATAATCTAGGGACAGTTATACATTTATACAACGAGAATGTTGTGAAAGAACGGTAATAAATAGCTGGCGTACCACAGCTGTATTTACTTCTAGAATACATACTAATTGATACGGAGACTTTTATTTCGCGATGTAAGATCATGACTACGTAGTTCTACGGTTCCTCGCTAGATGGCGTTGAAGAATGATTTTGGTGTATTTCCTTGTCACGTTAATGTTAATATGAAGATAAAATTACGTATGATTTAACTAAATAAACTATTTTGCACTCAGAGTCACCAAGATTTATGAGCCTCCTTCTGGAATAGACCTTTAAAATCTTCTTTTCAATATTTTAATAACAAGAATATACTTACTGACAACTTTTGGTTTTTCGGTGACCAGAAGCGAGTGGTTTATGGCGACAGGTACGTTTTGTAGCACCTCACACCTGAATGTACCACTATCAGATACCTGAACGTTCTTGATGTTCAAATCTGTTGTGTTGGGAACACTGGAATCAATCAATGCGTTTAATTTTATTACAGTCGATCCAAATAATTTAATCTTTCGTGCTAGTCGAACAGATTACTTAATCGTAGTCTTCTTCTAGTCCGTGTGACGACTCCCCACTCATCCCGTGGGTGTCTTAAGAGCCGACTAAGGGAGCAAACTATGCAGGACAACAAAACTGCAAAGAGAAGGAAAACTTGAAACAAAACCTATACCAAACCGTCTGGCCAGCGTGGTATAGTAGGCCAAAACCTCCTTTGTAAAGAGAGGCCTTTGTCCAGTAGTGGACTCTTAAAGGGTGTTGATGATGATGATGAGTCTTCCAAATATCTTTTAATTTTTCACTGTAAGTTAAGCTACCGAATAATATAGGAAACACTTATCACTGTGCAAGTAGAAACAGTTAATCCGAGACTTTTACAGAAAGGACTCCTTTGAAATTGCAAATTCAAAAAGAATAAAAGAAGTCTAAAATATTTGTAAACTTCACTTACATAGAATATCTGGTCTCCTCCCGTTGCAAGGGTATTTTACCAAGGAAATACTGGATATTGTCCTTATACCACGTAACCACCGTACCATCTGAAAATAATAATATTACATTTTCAATTAAAATATAATCGTAAGCTACGGATACATTTTTTTCCGTGTGGTGACGGATTAAGAATACGGAGTGTCACCACCCTTATTCATCCCGTGGGTGTCGTAAGACCCGACTAAGGGAGCAAAATACGCAAGACAACAACACTGCAAAGAGAAGAAAAACTTGAAACAAACCCTATACCAACCCGTCTGGCCAGCGTGGTACAGTAGGCCAAAACCTCCTTTCTAAGGAGAGGCCTATGTCCAGCAGTGGACTATTAAAGGCTGATGATGTGATGTGACGGATACATTCCATGATTTCAAATGGGGCTTAAAGTCGAACGTGCCGGGGCCTGGTCTGAAGACTAACTCCGGTGGGACACCAAATAATATAACTCGTTCCTTCACTAGCAACCGTTCATAATAGCGTTGTAAAAGTTTATATCTGTTAATGGAAATTTAAAAGGGCACCATCGTTTTGCTTCAAGTACTTTAGGTAGATAGGCGTTTTTGTCAAGTTATTCAATGGACATGGTGTATCGAAAGCCAAACATATTTCTCATAACTATTAATTATAATTCTGATTCTGGCAATAAATATTTACTTGTGTGGAAATCACATTTCCACTAATTATAACGAACATCTGCGGCAGTCGTCCTGCGGTCCGTGTGGTGACGGATTAAGAATACAGAATGTCACCACCCCTATTCATCCCGTGGGTGTCGTAAGAGCCGACTAAGGGAGAAAACTACGCAGGACAACAGCACTGCAGAGAGAAGGAAAACTTGACACAAACCCTATACCAACCCTTCTGGCCAGCGTGGTATAGTAGGCCAAAACCTCCTTTCTAAGGAGAGGCTTATGTCCAGCAGTGGACTATTAAAGGCTGTTGATGATGATGATGATGCGGCAGTCGTTAGGGATAGTTGGAGCCTTAAAAAGTCCAACAGCAGTCTTTCTACAGAACTTCGATTTCGCCTAGTATTTGGGTGGTGTGCTGTCAGTCGCTTAAAGAATTGAAGTTCAGCCGTATCGTAGCAGAATGAAGGCCGATCCCAACCTAGTTTGGGAAAAAGGCTCGAAGGACCAAGATTTCGTATTTGTTAATATTCTTCTGCTAGTTACTGAGGTACTAGGAACTTGTTAAAAAAATTATCCTGTATACCTTCTTGCAGCCAGTATTCAGTATAAAAATATATCAGTGACAGGCAAACCAACAACACTATTTATGATCGCACTTAATTATTTAGATAACCATATAGGATAATCCGTCAGCAACCAAAACTAACAGTTAACCGGATGTGTGTGCACGCGCGCTTTAGCGCCACGCCGGAAACGTCACATTTTGTTATGAATTTAATTGGGTAATGAATCATGACCTGATATTTTATTTTTGAATTTAGTAGGGATACAAAATCGCAGTCTTGAAATCTATACTCATTTATTTTAAGTGGATCATATCATTATTGACTGCACGGATGGCGTAGTGGTTTAAGCGGTCGCCACGCCGCTTCCTACTGCGCCGAGTGTTGTGGGTTCAAACCCCACATGGGACGACACTTTGTGTGATCCACAAATTGTTGTTCCAAGTCTGGGTGTTATTTGTGTCCGTTTCATGTATGTTTGTAAAGTCTCCCGCGACACAGGATATTTTCCTAATGCGGGAGTTGTCTTTTTTAAAAAAAAAAAAAATTATGTATAGAAATTTAGTTTCCACAGTGCGATATTTTCTTTTGTCTGTTATTCGTTTCAGCATTCAAAAGATGCGTTTCAGTAGCTAGCTAGCTGTACCGGGCATGCGTTAAAATCAAACTTAAATCATTTAGAAATAACGAAAAAAACATATACAGATCATTTGTTCTGTGTCTGGCTATAATTTATGTATTTAGAAATATTTAAGTAGATAATATGTTTATCAGTAGTCTGGTGAACATAGTACAGGCTCTGCCTAGTTTGGGACCAGACGGCCATGTGTGAGATGTGTAGGAGTCTTCTCCATGCTTTCTGTAGCATGAAGGCACATTCCTCTGATGTACCTTTCAGACTAATTGTTTCCTACGAAATAGGAAACAAGAAGAAGACAGAAAACGAAGAAAGAAGACAAGAAACAACAACAAGAAGAAGAAAATGAGGTACTCACTTGGTGACACCTCGCAGGCCAGGCGTTGTTCTCCTCCGACTTTAACCTCATAATTAGAGGGTGCTGTAACTATGATCGCGGGTTCTTTTACCACCGGATTTGGTGATGAATCTGGAACAAAAATATATTATTTAATACTACTAGATAATATAAAAGAAGAAACCGATAGACTGATTCGCTGACTGATCGATCAAAGCAAGCTGAAACCGCTGGGTTGAGAAGCATTAAAGTTTGCACAAATGTTCCTTAGATGACGTAAGTATGGATTAAAAAGGATTTAAAAAAAATGCCGCCATGCAAAATGGGTTTGTTGCAAAATGCATGCAAAATGTTATTTTATATTGAGATAAAAAACGTTGATACTAATTTTGCAAAACTACCCCTAAAAGTGATTAAATGGGTTTATTATAAAATAGGTATGGGACTTGGGAATTTGTACATGCATAGTAGTAGAGAAAATCTGAGAATACCAAAGATGCCCTGGAACTTTCCAGGGCATCTTTTCATCATCAGATTAGAAGTAACGCGTAGAAACTTAAAACAGAAGATGAACAAAAAATAGTATTTCACTAAAATATTATTAGTTATTTAGTATTTTTTTCAGTCGGTTTCTTAGATGCGATTAGGAACATATGTTTGTTAGGATTCTAGTATTAAACTCTGGGCTATATCTTAACATCTATAAATTCGAGTTCCTGTTCATTTATCAACTCTTCTTCAGGAAGAAATTCAACATAAGTAGACTCGATAGTCTTTCATTTGCTTGTATAGGTAATGAATTACATCTGCTATCAACAAACTGTGACGGATTAAGAATACGGAATGTCACTACCCCAATTCATCCCGTGGGTGTCGTAAGAGGCGACTAAGGGCGCAAAACAACGCAGGACACCAGCACTGCAAAAAGAAGGAAAACTTGATACAATCCCTATACCAACCCGTCTGGTCAGCGTGGTATAGTAGGCCAAAACCTCCTTTCTAAGGAGAGGCCTATGTCCAGCAGTGGACTATTAAAGGCTGTTGATGTGATGATGATGTGGATCAACAAACTGATCTGAATCACCGATTACGTACTGTAGGTGTACGTACGGACCGGATTCTGGGTTACCAGAGCTTCCAGTGTCTTCTTTTTTTCCACCAGAACCAAAAATAGACTTGGATATGTCTGAGACATTAAACTGTTTTATCTAATATACAGGCAAGGATAATTATGAATATAGTGATGGCAGAACACTAACTCCCAAATCACAGGAATACTCAGTTTGGGAGTTAGGGTTTATCTTTACCTGTATAACCTTCATCGAATGTAAAATAGTATTAAGTAGAATTTGTTGAAGGTTATTTTTATAAATAAATATTATTCTACGAAAGAATATATAATTAAAGATTATATTATACAAAAGAATATATATTTTTTCATCATATAAAAGAGATCAACAAAAAGAGAATTCGACATAAGAGTCAGAGGATTAAGAGTCCTAAATATTTTTAATTGGATTGTTTGATTTGATTATTGATATGGTTACCTCTAAAATCTGTATCATTTTGTGCATCTTCTTCTCCCGCTTCATCAGCTAGCAGGTTGTCATCATAGTTGATGTCATCGTAGGCCTGTCGACGTTGTACCGAGTGTCGAGCTTCTGTAATCAAAAAAATATAATAATTAACTTACGACTTCATAATAAATAATAATATTTAAAAAAAAAACATGATGAGTTTTAACAAACTCTATTCCCCATTCCTTAATTTTCTACTCTTGGGGGTGGGATTTGAGATTTAAATATGGATGGGACCAAATTTGAAGAATAGTCCAACAAAATAAAAATAAAGAATTTGCCAAACAGGTCTATAAATGGTTAACAACAAACAAAACAAGAAAAATATATATTTTTTTCTTTTAAGAAGACAACTCCCGCATTTGGACTATACCCTGTGTCGCGGGGGACTTCACAAACATACATGAAACGGACACAAAGAACACCCAGACACAGAAAAACAATTTGTGGTGTATATAAGTATTCTATATCAGTCCATCTAGCTTTCATAGTACAATCTCTGCTTAGTTTGAAACTAGATGGCGTTGTGTGTCAGATGTGCGAAAAAGTATTAAATATTTACACAGTTTATAGATACTCCGTCATATCAATACCTCGGTAAAATAAAGAAAATGTAATTAGGTATAATTAAGGAAAACATAGGCATCAATACCAACCGTTTTAAATAAAAAAAAGGTTTATTTCGGTTTTAAACGGATTGGTTTAATTGGTTTTAAACCGGCCTTACAGGTGGTGGCATTCCGTATTATTAATCCGTCACCGTGAAACATTGTGGTTTTTTAGTCGCAGAAATAACTATTATTTTATCTGTGCTATTGCTTCTAAAATACGAATAAACATACATATATATTATATTATACACATAACAACAAAATTATACAAATACAAGTTTTTGTTTTGTGTTGAATTCGAACGCGCGACCAACATGGATGTCGGCTACACCCACGGCTGATCGCGCTTTCAACCTAAGTAAACATAGTATTGTAGATACTATTAGGTAAAACCAACAACAACAAAGCTCAACACTAAATTGTTTACTAAACTTCCTAATTAGGAGTAATTGAACACCTATTAGTACACCTACAGGCGCCTCGTGTGGTAAATAAAGTAATTTTCTTTCAAATTAAATGCATTTTAGTTAAGTAAAGTCGGGTGATGTGTTCGTTAATAGTTTAACTTTGTGACACATATTATAAGATATAGCGTTTTAAAGAAACTGCTTATTGTGAGGTTTACAGTCTTGGCGTTTCTACTTTATACTAATGTTATGAATTTTTCTCCTTGTTTTTTTACAGGTGCTAATCTCTAGAACTATTAACCAACAGATTTAAATGGTTCTGTTTCTATTAAGTAAAGCGTTCATTAAGGAAGGTATGAAATATCATGTTATGATCCGAGCAGTGACTAAGAGTGAGTGAGCAGACAAAATAATGGAATCATAACATAACGTTGGAATTGTCCCTGTATAGAACATTATCCATTAAGTAATAATTCGAGGTATTTCCTTTGTATCATCTTTAGACATTTTTTTTTAAATGTACATAGTTCGTAAAATTAGTTACAAATAATATTAAACTCAAAGTCATAATATAACTGTACTTATTTCGAAAATAAATTTCATTTTTATACGTGCTGTTCTTAACAGGCAAGGGTACAGCTTCTCGATTCCGTCTTTATTATTAAAAGGCTTCCACTTTTAGTTTAAACCATACGTCACTTTAAAGCGGTAGTTCTAAAACTGTACTCGAATCTAAAACTGTTTGGTTTACCTTATAAGGGAGCATACAGACTACACGAACTCGGGAAATGTTAGCAGACGTACGACAGCACGTTCCGGCAGCAACAATGCCTTTAAAAGGAACGCCCTCCTAGACATGTCTTAAGATTATATTTGTTAAGTACACTTATCTCGAGACTTGACTAAAGACGAGAATTGAGTCAAGAAAGGAACGCCATCACATCTTTGTATTTGTAGAAAAATATGGTGCACGAAAGCATTTCATAATTATGTATTTAGAATACTTAATGTTTGTGTATCTTCTACACGTAAGAGCACAAAGCTAACATTTTTATATAAGCTATAGCTATTAAAAACGTGTCACTCACGTGAACCCTTCTAATTTTAGCATTCAGCTGGAGGAATTACAAGAATAGCTGTAATTTATGACCCACGTGGCTAATGAAGATGCATTCGTCTGTTCGTTTCTCTGTGTAATATTTTTTTTTTAAAGTAGCTGTTTTTTTATGGTAACGGGGGTTAACTGGCAGTCGGGTCTCCTGATGGTAAGGAACTATTCTCCACCCATAGACGCCAGCCGTGTTTTCAGCAATCCCCTCTGAATGAGGGGGAGCGGTAGGGTTAGGCTCCGGTAACCTTACTAACTTCGTGAAAAGCAACTTGTCTATAGCTTAAAAGCGGTTTAATTTAAGGCCCGGTCGAGTTGACCCATTTTTACCGAAGCATGGCTCTCCCACGACAGTTGGAAGATGGTTTAAAAAAAATTGTTTGATTCTATATTTCTATCATCATCAGCAGAGTGTCATAGTCCACTTCTGGACATAGGGCTCTGCTTAGAAAGGAAGTTTTGGCCTGCAATACCACGCTGGCCAGACGGGGTTGGTATAGGGTTTGTTTCAAGTTTTGCAGAGTCGGCTTTTACGACACCCACGGGATGAATAGGGGTGATAACACTACGTAGTCTTAATCCGTCACCACACGGATTTATTTTAAATATATATCATTATTTTCTAAGTTGTATATTTCTATTGTTTCTATTTCATAAGTTCATTATAAACATTAATGTGGGCATCTTCTCATGAAAAACCAAGCTCTGTAAGTTGGTTAAAACCTACAACCAGCTGTAAAACGTGTTAAAGACTGACCTATAATCCACGCGGAATGACCATCCGTCCGTTTAATTGTGACTAATTGATCTGCCCCGGTTTCACTCTTAATTACAGTGTACACACTTCCTTACATCGGGTTCGGTAATAGGTAAACATAGGGATGTATGAATTATTTACATGTTGCTTATAATTCGTTTGGTGATTGAGATAAGATGAGCGGTAAACGAGATGAGATTACAGATCTTGAAATAAGCATAATACTGTACATGGAGGAAAGAAGTGATAGGGAGGTGTAGGGGGAGTAAAACTTCCAAAAATATTATTTTAATTGACCAAGAATGATGGACAAAGTGGCAAATAAATGTATTTGTCATCATGTAATAGTCCACTTCTGGACATACGCCTCTCTTTAGAAAGTAGGTTTTGGCCTACTATACCACGCTAGCCACACGGCTCCTAAATTTTCCTTCTCTTTGCAGTTCTGTTTTCCTGCGTAGTTTGCTTCCTTAGTCAGCTCTTACGATACCCACTGAATGACTATATACACTTCGTATTCTTAATCCCTCATCATTATCATCATCAACAGCCTTTACTAGTCCACTGCTGGACATAGGCCTCTCCTTAGGAATGAGGTTTTGGCCCACTATACCACGCTGGCCAGACGGGTTGGTATAGGGTTTGTGTCAAGTTTTCCTTCTCTCAGCAGTGCTGTTGTCTTGCGTAGTTTGCTCCACGACCTTTGGTTTAACAGTCAGGGTCACTAACCATTAACAGGTCCTGGGTGTCATTCATTTATCTAAAATATGTATGTATTTAGAAATATTTAAGTATGTTTATCAGCAGTCTGGTTCCCATAGTATTCTCTGCCTAGTTTAGGAACAGACTGTCGTGTGTGTGTGATTTTTTTTTATTGAAGAGGGCCCAAACGAGTAGACGGGTCACCTGATGGAAAGCGACTACCGCCGCCCATGAACGCTTGCAACTCAGGAGTCACAAGCGCGTTGACAGCCTTTGAGGAAGGAGTACGCTCTTTTCTTGAAGATTTGAAGGTCGTATGGGTCCGGAAATACCGCAGACGATAACTTGTTGGTTGTGCGAGGCAAAAAGTATCGTACTATTATAAAAAATATTATTGTACTCTGGTCATGACGCCATTTTTAAATATACAACGTCAGGAAACGTTACCATAAGTAACCAATTTACCATAATTAGTATTCACCATCAATATTCTAGTCCAACACGCTGTCTTGCCCCCATGCCCATAATGGTGTTCATTGGTATGCACCATGGAACCCCATAGGCACGACACGTCGTAAGCATATTGTATAATAATGTATGGCGGAACTCTGTTCTGCGGTAGTCAGCAGAATTTCAAGTGAGTGTTTGAATCCCATTGATACTGTTCGGTTCATTGTAATCAATGACAAATTGGTTTGACAACAAGTTATACCAGTAAAGAGGTAAACAATGTTACATGCCTTGAATTTATAGAAATGTACGAAATAAAATATTTCATACTTTCTGCATAACATCATTGCTATATATGCATTTCCTAATTTTCATCTGGGATATTGAATGTTAACCTCACACATCTCATGCACGGGCTCTGGCCCCAAACTAAGCAGAGCTTGTGGTATGATAACCAGACTGCTGATAAACTAAAAAAACAGCACTGATGGCGTAGTGGTTTAAGCGGTTACCTCGCCGCTTCCTACTGCGATAAATGTTGTGAGTTCGATCCCCACATGGAACGCAACTTTGTGTGATCCACAAATTGTTGCTCTGAGTCTGGTTGTTCTTGTGTCCGATTCATGTATGTTTGTAAAGTTCCCCGGGATACAGGAATATATTCCTTTTATTCTTGAAGAAAGACATAGCTACTCTTTAACGCGATAACCTGAATATACGCGAGCGGAGCCGCGGGTAAGACTTTGTTAAATATATTACACTAACTTTTACCGGCGTTTCGCGTTAAAGTCGTTTGTCTATTATTCTTGGTAAGAAGCAGTCACGCGTATTCAAGACTACAATCTATATCTCTGTGCTAAATTCCATCCAGAACAATTCAGCCGTTCTAGCGTGACTGAATAAAAAACTTCCATACATCTATCGTCACAAACTTGAGCGTTTATTTATTAATAGGATATTCGAATATTTTACTAATTCAGTAAAATTCAAAAATTTTACTCGTTCAGAAATTATAAGATAACTAATAGCAGCTGACTTTTCTTTGAAATAAAGACTATAAAACCGTACTGTATTTCAGCTATATTAGATTATTTCCCCCCATTTGGCAATTGAGTAGTCTCAAATAAATATTATAACGTGATCTTTGACCATTAAATAAATGACATTTATTTGACAGCACTATGTCGTAATTCCTCTATAGTCTATGGTAAATAGGTCAGGGCCGCGCGAATTTTGTTCGAACGACCTTTTTAATTGTTGCAATTAATTTGCGGGACAAAATATTTTATTTGGCTATTTAGCTCCGGTCATATTAATCCAGAATAGGAATTAGTCGCTGTTACAACTACTTTAAGGCTAATATGTTGCTTAGAACTTGTTTGACAGGAAAATAATAGTGTATTTTTGGTGCATGTCTTAGTCAAAGTTACATTCTTCTGGATGAAAAGTAACTTATGTCCATAGCTTTATCCCTGGTACCGTGTATGCACAATCTTATGATGATCAGATGAACGGTACACAGCACAGCACTTACACATTTCTATCACTGCCAAAACCTGCCAAAACTGATGTACTGATTATAAATTTGTTATTTATGGTCACGTATAGACAATAAAATGAGTCATAAATATTTTAATAGAAGTTTACATTTAATGTGTTGACCCCACCGTGAAGGTATGTATGTATGTATTTTTAATAGGAATAATAGCTCTAGGCTATATGGGGTCACAGTAATCAATTTAAGATTATATTATTCGTACAAAGGTCTTTTTACTAATAATTTCTGTGTAATCACTTTGTGTCATCACTTTCACACTTCGCGTGATCCACAAATTGTTGTTTTGAGTCTGGGTGTTCTTTGTGTCTGTTTCATGTGTTTGTAAAGTTCTCCGCGACAGAGGATATATTACTACTGCGGGAGTTATCTTTACAAAAAAGGTCTTTGATTTATTTATCTAAGTTGCTAACGTGTAATCGAATTCAGGAATCGGTCGTATTTAAGTATAAATGTTTGTTGTGAATTAAACAAGTAAAACTTAATCGCTGTGTCTCTCTTCCTAATCGTTCCCTCACTGCTAAGGATCGTAACTCAATTTCTTCCTGTCAACCATCTGCTTCCATCGGTTGCGATCAGTTGCTTGGTGGAGTGCGATTCTTATTGGCATTTCCAGCTGTTCAGCGATCTGGTCCGACCATCTTCTGGGACTTCTGCCTCTAGGTCTCTTGCCTTCTACTTCTATCATTTCGGCGAGCAACATGTCTAAAATATTTAATGATACGATGCCTGCAAGTTAGAGACAGACGGTGAATATTATCTATCGTTGTGTCGGTACATAAATAGTCAGTATAGAGGTTCACCAGTTGGTACTGAAGCGTATTGTCTGCATTGGCTAGTGGTGAAATTGAATTTCAGATTCGATTCGAGTAAATTAAACTCGTCTTAATTGGGCCTATAGCAAATTATCTGGTATACCTTAAAATAGAAGACTTCGAGAAGTCTTCGGTATTTCTGGACCTTATGCGCCTTTCAAATCTTCAAGAAAAAAAACATAATCCATATTCTTAAGCCAGTAACGCATTTTTGACTCTTAAGATGCAGGTATTCGTATTATCATCAGGTGTCATGTCTGGTCATTTTTTCCTAGATCAAAAGTACTATAGACCTTGTCCGCTTGAGGTTTCGCAGACGTCCACACTATGAAAGCTGGAATAACTATCACGAATACCATTTAAGGTTTTGAAGAATATTTTCGAGATAACAACATAACCTTTATAGAATCACGTGTGTTTATTCATAAGTAGTCTTCAGAACATTAAACCTTACATGCCCTTCCAGTGTATCTAAGAATAGGACTGTATGGTGATGGGCAGTTAAAGTGGTCTGTCTGTCTGTCCGCATCTATAACTATATTATATAGAGAGCCAATAATGTAGAGTTATTTGGACAGCTGGCTATGATTCATGGCTTATGTAAATAGAAATAATAGTTATAAGGGGTTAGGAATATGTTCAAGTGTTTTTGTAATACAGAATTCAAAATGTGGGTACATATTTTATTACGGATTTTTTTATTCACACTTTGGCGTCTGATCGCAGGTATAGTGTAGCCAGAACCTGTACTTATCGTAACCAGACAGACTCTAAATACAAAATAAATTAATTACATTCAGAGATAGAACAAAAGTTCAAGTCTAGACAAATAATTAAAAAAAAAACATTACCGCTTCACAAAACTATTCTCCTTAAATGTTTTCATACCTCAAAGCATTAGTTACCGTCAAAGCAGAGACGTAAATCTCCCGGAGTATTAAATAAGTACCATTTGAACAAGACCTCCTTGCCATTCAAACAACGCAGTATTTTCTAAACGAGAACGCACATGTATTTTTGTAAAGAGACCTTGTTTAAGTGGATGCATAAACGAATTGTCCATTTTGCTTAGAGCTCAACGTTGCTTTAAGCTTAAGGTATTTTTAAAAGATGATGGAATATTATTAAGGAAGAGAAAGGTCTAATAATGTTAGGCGAGTATTTAGCTCCTGTAGTATACTTGACACGATAATAAATTGTAGTAAAAAGCTGTCGCAGGTTTTGGATGGTTTACGTTTCTGAATTTTTTATTATCTATTCTCTAATTTTTCGTAGAAATGGAGGTAACAAGTTGTAAATCAAATGTATTTTGACATATATTTTTAAACCAGTAACCGAAATGTCTGGTTCCTGCCTAGTACTATAATAATAAAACTTCACAAATCTCACACACGACAGTCTGATCTCAAACTAGGCAGATCCTGTACTATGGTAACCAGACTGCTGATAAACATTAAATGATCGTGCTCATCACACAATTATTTTTCCTAGGTGGGAATCAAACTTCCGGCTTAGCAGTCAGGGTCACTAGCCACTAGACCAACAAGCCTTCCCGTCAATACTTTTATTAAGGCTGATATTCTTAATTTAATATTTTAAAGGAACAAGATCGCAGTAAAGTTAAGGAATTATGCAAACTGACTTTAAAGAAGTAGCTGTTGTCTTAACAGTTAATGCGACAGGTCGCTTAACTCCTTGATGAAGGGCACCTGATGGATCAAAAGCTCTTCCTCGAAACACACACGATAAGAACTGTTTATATTTTGTAACAGAGAACCAGTTCTTTTGACAATGGAAACCGGTTGTTGGATATCGAGAAACTTTTCAAACAATAGATTGATCTAATGCAATCGAAACAAGTTCACCAATAAGATCAAAAACAAGGGCTTTAAACCCTCCTTGTAAATAAATGTGAATATGAATATGTTCGTGATAGTATGAAACTGTGTATAACATTATAAAACAAGCCAGCACGTCTACGTCTGCGCTTACGCATGCGATAAAAGCCCAAGATTATAACGCGGTGTGACGTCTGTTGGTTTGTTGAACTCGACTATAAACGATCTTGATATTAAAGTGTAGTAATATATTATGCCTTGCTTTTAGTTCAATTTTGTCGCCTTATGGACGTGTGTGAAAAGATAAAAGGAATATCAGTATGAGAATGAAATTGGAAGCTTTCATTTTCGTTGTAATAGTTTAATCGCATAGGAGTTTAAAATGACGAATGGCAGAGTACAGCTAGTATATCATTAAAAATGAAACATCGATTACTTAAGCATCGATATTTACTGTAATCATCGATTTTATAAGCTTCGCCTATCCTCCAGTGAGTTTACTATCCATAAATATGGGCGTGGATAATACTTTGTAATAAACTGACACAATGACTCCCATAACATGGTGTCCCATTTTTCTCAATTGATTAACGACTGTAGGTCAATATCTAATAATAGATTAGCGGAATATTTTATTAGACTTCTGTAGTCATTCGTGTTAGACTACTATCAATGTATCATAGACAATTAACCTAAAAAAAGTTGGCGGTCATAAATAAGTACATGTCTGGCTCGAATGTGTACTTAATGGTTAATTAGTCACTTCTAATTACAGGTAAGCGACTTGCAAATTTTTATGGTATAGGAGGGCAAATGAGCAAATTTACATCAACTCGCTTTCGACAGCGAGCGCTTTTGATGTTGTGATTGGTGGAGATTTCTGTGTGGGCCAATCTCCACGCTGAATGCTGTCATCGTGACGAGTGAGCGTGATATATACACGCACTTGGCCCTCTGATAGTAAGTGACAACGCCTACCTGCAACTCAAGAGTGCTAAGTGCTTTGCAACCCATTG